AGTCATAATTAAGAGTGAACTCCAGCCTCCTCTCCGGACCCCATATGATTTCCCCTTTGTTTTCTTCGTAAAAACGAATTGCAGCTTGCCCTCCGGAGACCTGCCGCCGAGGTCTGGATGAACTTCACGTAAGTCAAGTCTGTTGGGGGTTTAAGTTGGTTTAAAAATCTTTTCAAAAAAGGAAACACTTAAGTAATGTACAGTTGAAAGTGCATCAAGTGCATCATAATTAAGGCAGTTTTAAGCCTTTCATTGAAGTTTTGATATGTTAAAAGTTGCTTCGAGTGATTTTCTGCTGAACTTATGAAACTTTATTTACATTAGAAAGGGTAGGAGGCAAAGGCTTTGCATTTGATTGTTTATCACAAAACTACAGTTAATTTGTTCTTTTAAGTATCATTGTCGTGGCATGCCGCATGTAACAGCTGATCATTACTTAATCAGGTAATTTAATAAACTTCCACTATATGGAGATAGCAATAATTACGCTTAATAATAATATTCTGGAATGAGCAACAAGGAAAAAATATTTATTTATTGTTTAAATACACTTTATTACCAATCCTCATGGAGCATTAAAGAACATCAAGTATTTTAGAAACAACAATGAAAGGTTTTTCTTGAGTAAGTAAGGAAAAACTGAAGGTGAATATACTACAACGTCACGGAAAGTGAGAATAGGGAGGGAAAGGGGAGAAGGGTAGGGGGGAAATGTTAAAATCTTATCTTTATCTCATTTTAAAGAGATGTCAGGGAGCCATGTTATTAACTGATGAAAAATTGCTTCCCAACATTCCAGCGCAGCCTCACGAATGAAGGGATGACGTACTGGTCAAGATAAGTAGGCTGTTTATGGTGTTATCACAGGCATTCCTTGGGGATATTTCTTACGCATCTCTTCCAAGAACGCTTCAAATGAGGTCTAAAAAAAGCAGATTTTTAGAGATGCACACGTGATAATATAATGATGTGCTTGTTGAGATGTGGGGTGCTTTACCTTTTCAGTTTCTGTCAGTCCATTCATCCATGTGCTCATTTTTTCAGTGACTTCATTTTTGTCCTTTGGAAGGGGCTGAAAGCAAGTGAAATTTAGATTGAGAGGTACTCGTAAAAAGCTTAGACTTACATTTAGAAGTGCTCGTAGTCGTTCCATATTAGCTATGCTTACACCAGGGATATCTTGTATCTTACCATCTAAATGATCATTTTATTATTACTGTCTTTCATAGATTTGATTGCAACATTTTGCCACGGATATCCTTTTAACTATGATGCACGGAGAAAACTTCTACTAATAAGAATTTCTAGATGCTCTGAATGATTTCACAAGCTCGGCTTGTTATCATTCATCGACGTTACCTTACTATAAGCTTACTTTAACTTGTGACTTACCCCAAACTGCCGAG